TTTTCTCCAGGCTGAGCCCCCCCAGCTCCCTCAGCCGCTCCTGCTGCTCCAGCCCCTTCCCAGCTCCGTTCCCTTCCCTGCCCACGCTCCAGCCCCTCCCTGTGTCTCTGGTGTGAGGGGCCAGCCCTGCCCCAGCGCTGGAGGTGCCCCAGCAGTGCCAGCACAGGGAGGGCACTGCCCTGGCCCTGTGACACAGCAGTGCCCCATTGGCCTCGTGCCCCCTGGGCACAGCCAGGACCGTGTCCATGGTCAGTATTCCCTGCTTTGCTTTGTCAGTGCTGCTGATCCTGAGGCAGTGGCAGCACTGCTGGAACAGCCCAGGCTCACTCTCCTCCTTCTCTCTTTGCCCAGATTGCCAGGGAGCACGGTATTAGGTTTTTCGAAACTAGTGCAAAAGCAAATATAAACATTGAGAAGGCATTCCTCACGTTAGCAGAAGACATTCTTCGAAAGGTAAGCGCTCCCAGCATTGCTGTGAAACAATATCCCCAAAATCTCTCCTCCCCTTGCTTTTGATGTTCACCTGAGCTGTTGCAGCGTCTGACTCGGGTGTGCTGGGGCAAACGAGTCCCTGAAGGAGCAGTGTTGAAAGTCTGAAGCTTGTTTGATGTTTTGCTGTTGTGGGGGTGGCACCTACAGGGGATAACACACATCAAAGAGCCAAGGAACTGAGATTCCTCCTTGTTTGGCCCTTAAACTCGTTGTGGTGTCGCACTTGCCCTTGGAGTTGAAACATTTCCACCGGTGAGGTGAAAATTGTCCTTCCCCTGCCACCATCTCTGTCAACTGGCAGTGCACAGCATTGTCTGAGCACTCCTGAGGGCCTGGTGGGAAGGGTGGAGCAGAGGAAGGAGCTCTGTCATCCCGGTGTTGTTCCCAGGGATCCCTCTGGCCCTGCCTTTCCCTGGAGGCTCTGTTGCACCAGTTCTTCTGGTGGTTGGTCTCCCTTCCTGGAACGGACAATGTGCCACAGAGCCATGGAATCTTTGAGGTTGGCAAAGCCCCCTGAGAGCACCAACCATGCCCCAGCACTGCCCAGGCCACACTGACCCCCTCATGGAAACTCTGTGGAGCTCAACACATGTGGATTTACCAGCCCTGGCATTTGTGCTTCTGCTCCTGCCCGTCCCGAGCCCCATCCCTCTCTTCCCCCTCCCTCCCACGGGAACGCTGCTGGCAGTGTCACCCCGTTGTCATTGGAGCTCTCAGTTGTTTCCTAGTCAGTTTTTGACAAGCTTTATGTGAGGGACTGGGTGAAAATCCCTGGCCTTTGGTAAACATGATTTTTGGCTACAAATCATACCGACCTTTTGGACTTTAAATCTTCATTTTTGGCTTCTGTAATGATCTGAACATCTTGGGGGGGGTTCTTTTGCAAGGCTGTGACAGAGAGTTGAAAAAGGAACAGAGAGGCTGAAGTGTGTGGAGGGTTTAGGTTTGTTTCCAACCCGCTGGAAGTAGATGTTGGTGTCGGATCAAACCCACTTGAGGGAGATTTTTGTCTGGTCCCACCGAGTTCCATCCTGTGATGTGGAGGAATCTGTGTGTCCTCTGCCTTGGGAGCTGCTGTCCTGAGGAGCAGGAAGCAGAGCTTGGAACAGCCCCTCTTTATCCATAAAAGCTGTGGTTTTTGAAGGTCATTAGTTCACATAATTTGAGTTCAGCTTGTGTTGGTTGTAGGCTGGGATTTATTTACTCCCCCAAGTCCAGCGCCAGCTCCGGAGCACAGGAACTAAAATAGTTCCAGTTGACTTTGGGGTGGTCCAAGTTCAAACACTGGGTTTTTTTTCCCAGCTTTGCAGTTGTTTATTTAAAACAAACCCAACAGAAAAAACACCCTTAAGTTGGTGGTAGATGTTTGTGCTGGAGCAGGGGGGAGGATTCCCTGCGTTTCTGAGGAGCTCTTTGTGCGCGGTTCATTCCCGGCGCTCTCCGGTGATGTCAGTCCTCGCCAGCCGCTGGCTCTGGATGTCCTCCCCGGAATCTCCCCAGCCATCTAACTCTTCTCACTTGTTTCCTTGCAGACCCCTGTAAAAGAGCCCAACAGTGAAAATGTAGATATCAGCAGTGGCGGTGGGGTGACGGGCTGGAAGAGCAAGTGCTGCTGAACCTTCTCCTCTCTCACCAATCGCCATCCACCGCCCCTTTTTTCTCGCTGCAAAACAAACCACTCTGCCCGTTTTTTAACCTTAAACCAATGTTTTGTTTCCTCATCTTAACGAGCTCCTGCCTCCCCCCCTGGTTTTCCGGCTAGGACAGCTTTGCCTACTCCAGTTTTCTCAACCACATGTATAGGAAATCCATCTCCGTGACTTCATCTTCCATGTTCCTGCTCAACTCACCACTACGTTTGGGTTGTATTATAGCCCCGTCCCTCCTGCCATTAAACCCCAGAGCAATCATACTCAACTCTTCTGCAAATTGTATAAGAATAAAAGTTAGAATTAACAATTGATTTTGTACAACAGTGGAATTTTCTGTCATGGATCATGTGCTTGAGTCCCCCATACTCTCTAGATGCATCAGCAAGAGCCAGGAAAACACTCATTTTCGCCTTGAGTCCGTGAGTGGGGTTTCTTTGTCCTGTGCCTTATGTGGAAAAAGGAACTTTTATTTTCACTTTCTTTTCTGTTTTTTTCTGGTGGAAGCATGTGCAGGAGACATCCCATCCCCCCCCCCTGTGCCATTGAGTCCCGACCTCTGTAGTGGTTGCTTTCTGTACCCGTTGGTGTCATGCATCGAGGACAAAGGGTGGTGCAAACAAAAAAGCAGAATCCATGTAACCTGCTGTGTCTCCTCTTGGCGATCCTGCCGTTCCCTCCTCTCCCTGCTGCCGTTTTCTTTTCTCACTTTTTGCCCCTCTTTCCTTTTTCTGTCGTTTTGTTCTGGTTTGGTTTTTTTTGTTGTTGTTTTTTTTTTTTTTTGCCTGCATGCTGCTTTGATTTGCAATTTCTTCATGGTGTGATGTGTTAACGAAAAGGATGGCAACGCGGAGTGTTTGCCAAAAAATTTAATACAAAGCACTGATTTAGCTTCCGAGGTTAACGATGTGGAGATCCCTACTAACCCCCCTAGCCATGTCCGTCACTAGCGACCCCTCTCCCGTAGCCCCGGGCCTTCCCATATGGAAGAGTTATTTGCATGCACTAGTTTCTCTGGAGGGTGATGTGGTTGTCTTACTTTCTGTGTATGAATATAACATGCAATTCCCGAACTGACAGCGGTTCATTAACACGAGCTCCGAGGGTCTCTCCCCGTCAGCCGCTCCGAGGGGTCCGGGAGCCGAGCGAAGGGCTGAGCGGAACTGGATTGAAAGAGAAAAGAGAGGAAAAAAAAAAAAAAAAGAAAACAAAACAAAAACAAAAACCAGCCAGTTGGCGGTTTAATTTATTTTACCTCCCTGACAACGTTCCACCCCGCAGCGCTGGCAGCGGAGCCGCCTGTGCCGGGCCAGCCCTGCCCCGATCAGCGCTGGCAGCGCGGCCGCTCGTCCCGGCCATGGACTGGCTTTTCCAGCTTTTCCAGCCCTGGCTCCCGGGCCTGTGCTGGTGTCACCCGTGGCCGGGGGCTCCGTCCTGCCTGGAGAAGGGCTCAGGACCCACCCGGAGCCTGAGCTCTGGCCACGGACACGCGATGGTGGACGCGCCGCTGCCTCCCCGGCCCCGCCCGCTCCTCCTGCGGGGCCGGGACTGGCCGGGTCGGTCCTCGCAGCGCTGGGGTAACGCTGGGTGAATCTGGATGGAATGACGGTGTTTTAGTGGAACTCCTCCTTCGTTCGGAGCGGCTTCCCCGGAGCGACCCGCCGAGGTGTCTCCTCCCCCCGTAGTAACTCACCGAGGTGTCTCCCTGTCCCTCTGTATCTGGCATTTTGTCCCCGTGTGTGTGTTAACCCTTCCCAGGCGAGCGGCTGGCGGGGCCGGGCCGGGCGCTCAGCGTTGCACAGAGCCCGGTCGCTTTCGGTTAAATCTGCACTTTCTAACGTGATCAAAAAGGGAAAAAAAAATGGCGAATATACATCGAGGGGTTTTTTTTTGTATAATCCTTGTTTTAAACGTGAGCTTCTCACTCGGCTCCCTGTGTGTAACCCCTTTGTAGACGCTGTGCTCAGTGCGAGCCCCAGGTGGAGCCCAGGCCACTCGCTGGTCCTACTCGCTGCCGCCCCCCCGTTCCCCTCCCCTTCCTCGGTTAATAAACTGAAATCTTTCTATTTGGTCTATTTTCTGTTCCTGTCCAACCACGAGCTGTACCCGCGGGCGTGGGGTCGGGCAGCACGAGTCGGTGCCGATGCTGAAAAGAGATAAAACCCCCCTCCCCCCAAAAAATAACGATGTTGGAGGAATTGGCGGTAATTGGATCTGTGCTGGTGTCTGAACTCCCTGCTGGTACCAAACTCGTGAAGGCCCCGCTGGGAGCAGCCCCTGCCCGGCGTGGGGCAGAGCCCCTCGGTGCCCCCGGCCCTGCCCACGGGGGGGACTCAGCGCTGCCTTTCTGCCACAAAAACGTGTGAAACGATTCAATTGGTCCCGACAAACCAAACCTGAGCGTGGCTCTGTCCCACGAGTGGCACGGGGCCGTGGGGGCCGTGGTCACCGCGGCGCTTCGTGCCCTGGAACACTCGGACGGTGGAATAAAACAGCATCAAGGTCCCGGATTAATTCCCATGCGACAATTTTTTACTTAATCTTTTAATATTTTTGCTACTCCACTCTGGCTTTTTATTTAAAACACATTCTTTTGTACCACTTACTGTATCAAATTGTATAAAAGATCACTGTCCCATTCTTGGTCGTACCAAGAGCAAATAAAAGCTTTTATAAACTTGCAGTGGTGACTTCCTGGGCCCCCTTAAATTCCCTCTGGCTCCGGCGGGAGCGGCCGAGCCCCTGGAGG